TATAAATTCTCGTATGCAACGGGGTTGTCACTCGACCTGTCGTTACGTCCTGCGGAAAGGGCGTCTGAATACGCTTTGTCCTAAACGTGGCTTTGTTCCACCAATCGGGGCCACACGCCAGGTATGCATTGTCCTCCAGACGTCTTTCTTCCGGCCAAAGCTTCTTGGTTGGTGGTTGTATAACATGTCTCTCTGTTCTTGTCTTTCGCCACCGTACCCCGGACCACCAGAACTACTAGCCTAACCATCCCGGTAACCGACCCTGACCCTTTCTTCTACTTTCCATGACTGTTTTCTCTTCGAGCATGAAGTACAGTCGTCCTACTCCATACCGCTCGGCCGCGCCACCGCGGAGTCCGGGTCCACCGCCGGACGAGCCTCTCCCTCCTCTCCCGCCACCTCTCGCTCTCGACGACAATACCAGCGAGTCCAAGATCGAACCATCCTGGGCGCTAGACGCCATCCGATACTCAACCATCCTTGGCTCGTACACACTCACCTCAAATGACCTCAAACTGCTCAAAAAAGTGCCTCGCGGAGACTATGAGGAGGATGGCCATCTCGACCGGCGCATTACGCGCACCCAGTCCCAGATCCTCTCCGGCCACGGACAAAGGATAGACTTCGGGTTCTGCTCCGGTGGCAGGCTGAAGCACCGCGGGATGCCCATGTACGCACTTTCGAACGCATCGGAAGAAGAGTTGTATCGGAACATGAGCGCGAGCGGGACGACGGTCATGAAGCCGTTCCCGCTGCGACAGATCCGAGTTCGGTTCTTGGTGCGTTCCATCTTACCTCCACTGTCGATTTATGTCTAATACTGCTGGCACAGTGGCCACTTCCTCGTGGCTCGGAGCCATCACATGAAGTCTACGATGAATGGGTGCGTGTTGACCCGTCGTATACACGGGTTCAGGTCGCAATGGCTGTGGCGCGGGTCTTCTATCGATTCGTGGAGGTGCGTCCATCCCCCTTGCCTTGTGTGATTTGCTCCTGACGTCGTTCCAGTCAAATCGTCTCTATCTTTCGCAGTATCACGACTACCCATGGCGACTGCGTCCGGACGCGTTTTACCGAGTTTGGCTGGTTGGTCTCGAGCGTGTCGAGAACAACGTGTTTGTTGCCGACCTGAAGTATGTCAAGGATTATCCAAACGAGTGAGCCGTCAGATCCGAGTCCCCTCTTTCGTGTTGTACGCTATTCTGCTACTCTATACCCCCGCATAATGCATTGTACTCGTAGACCCTCCACGCTATCGCATCCATGAGTTCCCTAGCTCACGCTGTCCTGCTCAAAGTCGCACCTGATCAGACTGCAGTCGACTCACCACAAGTCCGTATAGATGCTGAGATTGACTCCGGAGCAGCTTGACGACGACAGACTCGACCTCATCGCCAGTCTCATTTCCCTTGTCGGTTATCGCCAGGAAAGGGACGAGGGTGGGTACTTCTACGCCGAGTATAGACTTCATATAGGCTTCGTCGTCATCGTTCCATAAACTGCACCCGGAAGCTTGAGCTGTCCCATGGTCGGGGGCCGATACCATGCCGTACGTCCTTCTGAACCCTCTTCGCTATTACCCATGTTGAACTCTCTCCTTCGCGTGAGGGTATATAGATGCGAGCATGCTTCGCTCCTCGGACCTCACACCAGCAGTCCAGATGTCTGACGAGACGAAGCCCACGGTCAACTTCCGCAATATCTTGCCTGTCGACGGCACCGAGGGGCTGTTGCAGCTCGATGGCGACCGGCTCGACTTCTTCCGGTCCACGACAGGTATCCACGACGTCGAAGAGCTGAAGAAGCATATCGTTGCTGTGCAACGCGCGGCGTACAAGGTAAGCAGTCACTTCGACTCCTGCCAAGTCTCATAGGGGCCCACATCGTTGACTGGCGGACTGCCGTAGACACGCCCCTATCCTTGCATCGTGAACTTCAACTTCGCACAGTGAGTTGGTTCCTGGCCTTGTTGCATCGCGCCCTGACGTGGCTCGCGACAGGTTGCGACTATCCCGCATCGCTCAATACGGCCGGCTGCTGGAACTCGGCAAGTCTCGCGAACACCCTATCCTGCTAGACGTCGGATGCTGCTGTGCGTGCATTGCGCTATCGTCGCAGATAACCTCGCTGACTGACTGTGACTGTAGTAGGAACCGACCTCCAGAAGCTGATCGCGGATGGGTACCCGCGTGAGTGCGTGATTGCAACGGATATCGTACCAGGTGCGTCTTCCTTTACGTGCCCCTTCTCGTACGTGCCCCTTCTCGACGCTGACCTGCGTCTGTAGAGTTCTGGGAGCTCGGACACAAGCTCTTCAACACGACCCCAGAGACGTTCCCAGTCCCGTTCGTGCCCGGGGACATCTTCGACCCCTCCTTCCTTGAGCCGACTCCGCCGATCTATGGCCCGCCCACTACCCCAGTGCCCAATCTCTCCTCTGTCCGCACACTGACCGAGCTACGCGGACACGTCTCTGCGATCACCATCTGCGCCGTGTTCCACGTCTTCGAGACCGAAGAGGTGCAGCTCAAGCTCGCGCGCGCACTCGCGTCGCTGCTCTCCCCGGCGCCCGGCTCGATGATCGTCGGGCTGCACCGCGGCCTGCTGGAGAAGGGCATCTGGCAGGGCCAGTCGTTCAAGATGTTCTCCCACTCGCCCGAGAGTTGGGCGGATATGTGGGACGGGGTTGTGTTCGAGAAGGGCACGGTCACGGTAGAAGCGAGGTTGGTGCAGAAGCAGAGGAAGTACATGCAGGATGGGGTGCAGAGTGAGAAGCCGCTGCCCGTTCTGGAGTGGTCCGTGACGAGGGTGTGAGTGGGCGGTGGGTGGTGCACGGGTTGACGGTAAGTCTTGCAAGTTCCTGTATGTTCGTGCAAGCTCACACGACGTGGTCTCCTTTGGTCCCTCTATTCTGGATGGGCATGCTGATGACAAAATGACTCTAACACGCGACCATATCTATCGCCGTCCACACGCAGGGGAACTAAAGCGGTCGCGCGCGGCATCGGCAGCGCTTGGTGGACGACAAACGCGAAGCTACGTATTGGATGGGGTCTCAGGTACGAGAATACATAGTGTTCGTGATGTGTATATCAGGGACATCCATGTTCCGCTGCTGAGCAAGCGGGATGATTTGTCGCTCGTTCGCAGATCCCATGATACATGTTCTGGTATTGTCGATGGTGTATCCAGTCTACCGGCCTCCGCAATCAGTAGACCGCATTCTTGGTTTGTCTGTCCGTCTAGCATACATATGAATGCGCGCCGTGTCTTACATACGTGCCCTCTCATCTTGCATTCATCCCTCTCGCCAGTTCCGTTTGAGCGCGATTGTTGAAACTTGAGGCCCTGGGACACGTCGGTCGCAGAAGCCGCTCCAACGCCAAAGTTCAAGAAGCTCCTACCACTCGAGGGCACGGAATCTCTCTTGTACTTTGATGGAGAGCAGCTAGAGTTCTACAAGAAGGCGACGGGAATAGACGACGTTGACGCGCTAAAGAGGCACCTGATATCGGTCCAACGGGAGGCGTATGCTGTACGGCCATACACCACGATTGTGAACTTCTACTTCACCGAGTAAGTCAAAAATTGGCTTCGAAGAGTACAATATGCGTACGAGCAGGCTTACTTCTGTCCGGTCGTAGCTTAGGCCTCTCGCACGTACCCGGATATCGTCAGATGCTAGAGCTGGGAAAGACCCGCAAGAACCCCATCCTCGTGGACGTCGGGTGCTGTTGTTAGTAAAGTTAGTTCATCCTCATTTCTATACTGGCTTAGAGTACTGCAGTCGGACAAGACCTGCGGAAGGCAATCGCAGACGGGTATCCGCAGGACAGCGTGCTCGGTACAGACATCGTTCAGGGTGAGTTCTATCCCAGACCTTCCAGCACCCGTACTCATCCACTTGAACACTCCCGCGTAGAGTTCTGGGACCTCGGCCACAAGCTTTTCAACACGACGCCCGAGACCTACCCCGTGCCGTTTGTTCTTGGGGATATCTTCGACCCCACCTTCCTCGAGCCTACGCCACCGATTTATATCGCTCCTCCGGCGGCCGCTCCAGCGCTCTCCTCCGTACGCACGCTCAACGAGCTCCGCGGGCACGTTTCAGTCGTCTGCGTGTGTGCGATCTTCCACCTCTTCGACAGCGAAGAGGCGCAGCTCCGCCTCGCGCGTGCCCTCGCGCCTCTTCTCTCGCCCGAGCCGGGTTCCATGGTCATCGGGTGGCACAATGGACGGCACGAGAAGGGGTACACCGAGGGCTATGCGCTACGAATGTTCTGCCACTCTCCAGGGAGCTGGAGGGAGCTGTGGGATGGGAAGGTGTTCGAGAAGGGAACGGTCAAGGTGGACGCACGGCTCGTGGAGAAGCAGAGACGGTACCTGAAGGACGGGGTACCGACGGTTGGAATGCGGACATTTCTGGAGTGGTCTGTGACGAGAAAGTGATCCCTGGGGCGCGATGTCGTGTCGTTACTGTCCTACCTACGGGACACGAGGTACATTGTCGCGCGACATGACGTCGACAACTTACCAACCTGTACTTATCCTTGAAGCAAATGTCGACAAGAGCCTGGGCGAAAGCGTCCGGAGAGTGACGAGCGACCGCTGGGACCGGAGAAACGTTGCTGTGAACGACTCGGAGTGCAAGGGCGGCGCTGAGCGGAAGCTCCAAGTGTACTTCTGTCGCTCCTACACAGCCTTCCGCAGAAACAATCGTGATCAAGGATGTGTTCTAGTAGAGGGAGGAACTCACGAGTTCAGTGGTGTCCCCGTAGATGGGTGCGCCTGAGTACCTGAAATGTTGCTGAGGTGGATCTTGATGCATTGATGACGCACATATAACATGTTCAGAGAAAACGAACGACTTACTGAAGTACGTCTCGATAACTTGGGAGCGACAACGTGGAAGCCCGCTTTTGAGTCTACGAGTCGGGAACGACGGTTTGCCTTCGATCAAAAGAATAGACACGGTATTCTAAAGATCTAAACAATGGAGCGGCCCAGTGGTCTAGTAGTATGATTCGCGCTTCGGGAGTTCCCAGGTTTATCACCTTAATTGCGCGAGGCCCCGGGTTCAATTCCCGGCTGGGCCCTTTTTGTTTTCGGCTATGCAGCCTGGACTCCTCCCTCGAGGGCGGTGTCACTCCTCGAACGGACCGACCGTCGGTACAGGCCTCGTCGAGTCCAGAAGCATGGTGACTGCGTTTTGGAGGCAGTTGCGCTTCCAAGTGTAGTACTTCAAGGTATTGGAGTGGCCGGACTTCGTATTGTCCGAGTTCAGTACAGGTGACTTCGCTGCTGTATCGAGCTATCTCGTACCGTAATCGCGCTCCGATGATACAGTTCGTACCTCACATAGACGTACGCACTACGTCTTCGACTTCAACGAACCTAACGAGCTGGGCTTGATTCCTGCCAGCGCAATATCTGGTCTCCACCGGACTCGTGGTCAGATGTCCTGCTTTTGAAGCACAGAAGTTCAACCATCGGTGTAAATAGTTTACTTCGCCGAAATGAGCTGACGAGAAAGCTCCCGCCTTCCTCCGATTCCCTATGACTGCACTGACCGCGCCATTCCTCAACTCCTTGGACGTCGCCCCAGCGATCGACCAGGCGTCCGCGGCACGCATTCCAGCTGCTCCTAGGGCCTTCTTCTCTGCTGACGCCTCACATTTCAGGATGACTTCTTCCCCCGTGTCCCTGCGGAGCTGCGCGAATCGCACCGCTGGCTACAAGCTACCATCATGAACAAGACCCCATACAAGATCACCGTCGAGCGGTCGTACTTCCAGTCCGGAGAGTACTATCACGCTCCGACCGACGTCGCTCCCTACGGCCAGATGACGTTCTCGTGCCGCAACTCCGCCCGCGCTGGGTCTACCTCTGGGGTCGGCGGGGCGACTGAGTTCCGCGTGTATACCACCCGGGATGACCGGTGGCTCTACAGCGTGGTGTTCAGAATCGTGCGTATCTCTCCCTACTTGTCCCCGGACTATGTCCCCACCACGATGCTAACATTGACGCATACAGGGATGGGCATGTCTTGAACATGGGTCCCCGAAGATCGGTGTCGTCACCGGAGGTGGGCCTGCGAAGGAAGCGTACGACACCGCGACGGATGGGAACCAGGAAGCACAGACAGACCGCGGGGTTGCAGTGGGCAGGAACCGGGATGGAACGTGGAAGTACATGAACTTGAGGGTTACGGCTATACGCCACGGCTGGGAGCCACTGTACGTCGTGGAGCATTCTTTCGAGAATCATGCTTGAGGGTGTCGCGGGGGCATATGGAGACCTGGTGAAGAGATGGAAAATGCATGTCTTGTATTGGATGGTTGCTGGAGTTTCTTCGCCTCTTCCAACCTAATTTTGAGACGCGAACACATGGATTGATGTACAAGGGCGTAGGAGAGAAAGAAAGGATCGTGGAGCACCCGCGGCACTCGTACACCCGCCCCATAGCTCAGGACATGAACGTCGCCTCCAGCCCCGCGTCGTCATCAACCTCCATGCCCCGCGCCGCATGCTGCAACGCCGCGCGGTTAGCCGCCCGCCTCGCCTTCTTCGCCTCTCTCTTGAGCACGCGCCGACCGAGCGGATTCGCGCTCGCCATCGCGCGTCGTGCGTGCTCGTCGACCGGCGCATGGTAGTCTGGTACGTCGTGCGAGCGGCGCAGGCGTTTCGGAGCGGGTGGGCGCGCGGTGTCGTTTGTTTGCGCTTGCGCTGGTGTCGCATGGGATGCGTCGGTGACGGTGCTGAAGGAGGCTACGGACGGGGAGCGCGAGCGTTTGCGGGGAATGTGTGGGGCGAGATCATCCGATTCCATTTGTTTCCTGAGGGATGCAGTGATGTTTGTTAGCTAGATAGTACAAGAGGGAACGCTTCAGCTTCGTGAGAGTCGGAGTGAGCACTAGACAATGACCACGAGCGAAAGAGAGCACTACACGCAGTCACGGCCCAGATGCGATGTAATTGATATAGTGCACATATAGCAGAAGACCAAAAAAAACAAGCACATAGACTCACCCATCTTCGTCCATTGACTCCGCCTCGCCCTCCATATCTCCCACCGCATCCGCCATCTCCGTGTCTGCTCCAGCGCCGAACGCACCCGCATCCGCCGCCCCGAACAAGCCGTCGAGCGTGAATGGTTTCGCGAACTCGGTCACGATTTGCGCCTGGCCGACGGTCTCCGCGCCGGGCGCGACTTGATTGCTGCCTCCGGGGACGGTCGAGGGCACGAGCGAGGGGTGGAGCTCAGGTGGGGACGAGAAGTACGGGATTTTCTGGTGATTCCAGTCGGTAAGGATCTGGCGTGCCGCTGCGAGGATGTCCGGGGTGCCGCCCTGCAATCGAGATGGTGAGATAGATTAGCCATGGATGCAGATCGAGGGGAAGATGGAGAGGAGGTGCCAACGGACGTACCTTGAGAAGCCGGCCGGTTGTGAGCGCGACCATGGTCAAGAACTCGAGCGGAGAGGCGTAGTCTTCGACGTTGTAGAGCTTCTTGAGGACTGCGTGGTCCGTCCGGGCGATGATCTCTTCGACTGTTCGACGCAAGCGGGTGAGCACAGCGGCGAGACGAGTGCAGGGCTATACGTACCGATTGCGACAGGGTCCTCGATATCCTCGACCTTGACGACATTCCGCAGGAGGACGTTGCTCTTCCTCTGGCTCTTGCCATCGTCGAAAGCGTCATCATCGAACACGACACCAGGCGAGTCGATGATCTTCAGACCGCGTTCAAGCTGTATGGTTTGCAGCTCCTTGGTGTGGCCCGGCTGCGCTGCGACGGCGCAGACCTACATCATTGGGTGTTCAGACACGTGAGATGGTGGCATATGGAGGAAAACCCACCTTCGAACGCTTCAGAGAGTTGATCAGGCTGCTCTTCCCCACGTTCGGGTATCCGACGATGCCGACGGTGATGCTCTGCACGCTCGGCTTGTAGGCCTTCAGCAGCCGGAGAAGCGCAGGCGCAGTCGAGGACGAGAGGTTGGATCGCTGATGGCTTCCGGCGGACTTGAAAGGGAGGGTCGGTGTGCTGTGTCGGAGATAACGCAGCCATGCTTCTGCGTTGTCTCGCGAGACAAGATCTTGAAGATGGAATATGTCAGAGACAGTACTCAGTGCATGTTGAAGCGAAGGGCAAAGTAACGCTGTGTTCGACACCAGCTGCCCATCAACCACCGCCCTGCTCGCGATACGGCCGAAAGACACTTGGGACGTTGCACTTGGAAGCACACGCAGAGCACGCTTCTCATAACACGGACAGGGGCGCAATGATCTACCTTCGGAAAGACAGATGCCCGAAGTTCTGACCTCAAGACGCACGAGGGTCCCCGCATAAGCAGGAACGACCAGTAAAATCGATGGCCTTCCCTGCGTCAAGCCGGAGGGCTATACGACACGTCCCGTTGATGGTGCTCGCGGAAGATCAGCGGATGACATGCGCGCAACCTGCACACTCGGGCGGGATCAAAAGCACAGGAGCAGTGCTCTGCGAGAGCATGGGTAAGGGAATGATATATGTACGGGGTGGATGCGCAGGCGCGAAGGAGTATGGAGAGGGATGGACTCGGTAAGCACGAAAGGAGCACTCACCCACTTTATTCAAGACAAAGACCAACCGCTTGCCCTCGCCCTCTCTCCGCCTGACCTCCTCCTCCACGAGCCTACTCCTGCAGCCTTCCGGATCTCTGGCGTCCAGTACGAGGATGATGATGTCGCTCTCGTCGATCACTTTGTGCAGCGCGCGGATGTAGTGTCGGCGGAGTTGTTCTTTCGTCTTGGGAGCGCCACGCGAAGAGGTTGGATCCGCAGTGTACGCTTCGTCGTCCACCCCAGATGAGGAGGCAGCGAGGGCGGCGAGGGTGGAAAGGGTGGGTTCCGAAGCCATCTGCGCATCCGGGTCGAGACGAGGGGGCTAGTCCGACAGATTGAGCCACTGGTGAGCTCTGCGATATTGAAGTTTCGATACATACAGGTTGTAGGTGCTGTTTTCCAGCATTTCGAGCCTTTAAACTAGGGAGACGAGGGACACCGGGGTCTTTCTTGAGCTCTGCGAAGCGCGATCAGCGATGTCTAGACTCGGGATGAACCACACATACAACTCACTCGAGCGGCTCGGAACGTCGAACTTGCGATGTTCTGTCTGTCAATCAGCACCCGAGATGTCATACTTCTGGACTACACACTATTTGGTGCCATAATGTTCTTTAAGACAAGGGAGGAGGGATCATAGAGATCGAGCGGGCAAAGCCACAGACGTTTTTCTCGGCGCTCGGTCCGGACAGCCGAATTACTAGCCTTACGTACTAAGCATGAACTCGAATGTGAAGAGAGATCAACGATTCTCTCATCTATACCATTAAGCACTTCATCTCGATAAACACGAATTTGTTCACTATCCTATAATACAGCCGACAGTCGTCATTCTTGTCATGAAACTACAGCTCCAGCTTCTCGACTAACAACGGCAACTCGGACTTCAAGCTGACGGTACCTATTGTTGGGTACGTGATAGCGGAATTGTTCCAAACGATTGGCTTGCCCGTCAGGGAGAATCTGAAGCTTGAAAGTAGAACGGAAACCAAGACCTCTGTCCGCCAGAAGAATTGAGTCTAATCAGCAAGGGCGGTACTGACCACTCACTCATTTCGAGTTGAGAGAACTTAAACCCACTGAGAGATGGAAGGACAACCAATTAGAAAACTACAAGAACGAATGCGTGAAGAGGAAAAGAATACTCACAGACAGGACCGTTGTCCGCCAAAGAACGTCATCCTGCAAACGAGAAGTCAGCTTCAGCGCATACCTCAAGACCAGAAGAGTTCCGCACAGATGCGAGTAGACTCCCGGAATATTCGCGTCTTCGAGAGCTTGAGGCACCGGTGCGAGCCAGCGCTCAGGTTTCCACTCATACGCGTCTTCGCCCCAGAGTGCAGGGTTTCGGTTGCTCGCTTGAAGGTCAACAACGACCGTAGTTCCCTTCGGGACGTGAACTTGGCTCATCATCTGGCCATCGACACCGCGAATAGCCTGCGACAGTGGAAGGATCATGTCCTTTTAAGCCCTGCGGTATACGTTATCA